TGCCATTTTCTTGCTATTCGCTTCGCGTTGCCGCAGTATTCGCACAATATACATTGCCTTCTCTCAAAATAGCATTTCACCACAATTGGTGAATGAGAGAGTTTTTATTATAAGACTTTTGGGCTAGAATAGTAAAAGTCTTTAGAAACATTTGGCATCTGTCTTTCACTTGTCTCACGAAATCCTCTTTACAATCTTAGCCAGAATTGCCTCTATATTTACCTCTCGCTCCAATACAACTCAAAATATTACACCTTATAAAAGAGCGTCTGTCTCTTTTGTCTATCTAGCCCTGATAACTTAGTAGTTTTAATCGTTGATAAACTCATTAAAGCAGCAGGAAGCGGTCATCGGGCAATCTTTTTTTCTAGAATCGCTCCTTTCTCCATTGTCTATTTCTGGATTAAAAGTTTGGCGGTGAGTAATTAATTGTGACTGTTTGCAACTAGGAAAAGCCAAGCTCAGCTAACTAATAAAAAAACTAATTACAAGCTATTCATTGCAGGTAAACCTTTCCAAGAGGTCACCCTGGAATTAAGCAAATCTGAGACCTTTATCGTTCGTAATTCCAGTAATTGAAATTATTATAAAAAACGGGGTACCTTTTTAACACAATAACAAGATTTTGAACTAATTCTGCTGGCAGCCACGACTTTCAAAACAGGATTTTCTTCGAAATTTTCATTCCTACAAAATAACAATTTATTAGCCATATCCACTTATTCACAATGTCGTGACGCTATAAGCACACATTTTTTCAAACCAGTCACAGAAGACAGGATTAAAAATGAATTACAAAAACTAAAATCGAAAAACGCTGATCACGTAACAGGTTCTCTAAATTCTGAAACAACCAAAAGAATTGGTTATCCAAATTGGGATACAACGGTGTTTAAACAGCGATCTTGCCATGATACTAGATTGTGAAGATGAAAATCAGGAGGATACATCCGACATTTGCAGCCCCGATGCAATTCTCGAATTATTGAACCGCAAAAAAAAAATAACTGAAGTCCTCTCAACTGGTGCAGCGTCAATCGAAATGAATATACAATTTTGTAAAGTTTCAAGTTTTTCAAGTTTGTCGCCTCGAGCGAGTAGTTATTTAATGTCGCAGGTTTGATTTACGACCCGTTAGGAAACAGGCTGTAACCCGAAAAAGCAGCAAAATTACTCTTTCTTAAATATAATGTTCCAATTTTTTAATTTAAGTACTAAATAAAAAAAAATTAAAAATTATTAAATTTTCCATTTTTTATTTACCTAAATCACCTAATGTACTCACCAAAAAATATTTCTTAAAATCATATATGTAATACTTCTATATTGGCAGTAAGCTAACTTCTCAATGAGTAAGCATTTCGAAATCAGAGCGAGACAGTCTAGTACTGTTTTTGTCAATGTGTTGAGTACTTGAGTGCCGTTTTTGTATATGTGTTGTGTACATGTTTATTTATAACCGTATGTGTTCCTTTTCTTTCGTACGTGTTTATTGATATACCTTTACTGTAGTGTTTTCGGACGGTACTGGCTCTTACTGCCAATATAGGAGTATTACATATATGCTTAAAATACAGTAAAAGCTCTCATAGACGGACGCTCTAATAAGCGGACATCTCCTATAAGCGGACACATTTTGGGAACGAATAATTTTTGGTTTTTTCCCATACAAAATGCTCTCCCATACACGGATTTTACAATAAACGGACGCGGACACTCAAAAATGTCCAGTTATGAAAAAAACTCTCCCATAAGCGGACGCGAAGCTCTAACAAGCGGCCAATTTTGTTTTGTTTTTCAGTCAAATGTTGACTCTGGCGCTTCTACATATGTATCTATGTATATGTACACAAGAACATAGTCCATATTCAAAAATTTTTTATTTTCTAGAAAAAGTGTTGCCTTTTCGTTAAATTTGAATTTATTTGTAATCCACCCTGTTTCTGTCTATTGAAAAATAAATATTATTTTAATTTAGAAACCCTCAATTTCAATTTTTTAAGTATGAATTTTAATTTTATTTTTTACGATTTTCCTATAAACGGACATCTTTCATAGACGGACAAAAAAGGTGACCGTCGGCGTCCGCATATGGGAGCTTTCACTGTATTTGACATCCGCATTCGCATCCGCGGGTGTTAGCTTTTAAACATCCGCATCCGCATTCGCATCCGCGGATGTCTAAAATTCCATATTCGCAACATCCCTAGTTTCAAATATTTTGTGTTCAAAAAGCGGGAGTAATAAATTTTTTTCGCATCCCTTTAAAATTCGGAGCTATGAAAATAAAAATGATGCCGTCAATACGAATAAACCCCTTTACAAATGGTCCTCACTCACTGAGTGAGCCAAATATGTGAGGAGTTTATAGTGAAGAGAATGTAAATAACGCTACCGTTCTGAGTTTTTGAAACTGGAGCGCTTTTAAAAAATATAACTCCTCAGATCCAGAGCGCATGTTGATGGCTTTGCGAACTCTGTTTTAGGAGGGTCAGCGACTGTTACTTGTAAAAACTTGCATATTCCATCTTTCGATCTAATCCACCGAAACCGGTAAAATTTTGAAAGTGGTCTAAAAGGAAAAAAGTTTGGGAACCTCTGTATACACTGTAGTTTTTGGTAGGCGAAAACAAACTTTTCGTTTTTGTCATCAATTTACATTTCGTATGCGTAAGTAGGACAGTTAGATATTAATAATTGGGTTGTTCACACTTGGCTGGTTATCTGGTTATGTGGTTATATTTTTTATTCAGTTCACAACAATAACATACACTACAGAATATTAATTTTTAACCAGACAACCGTATTACCAGGCGAGTGTGAACAACCCAATTGATTTTTGTGAATATGGTTTTCACTTGATTTTGCCAGTCAAAATTCGCGTTCAAACTCGGCATTGTGAGTTTCCGCAATATAAACATTATGGAGAGGTACATATGTATTTCTTGAAAAAAATTTGGTTTCTAAATTTAAATTAACAAATTAAATTTATTTAACTATCTTTATAGAAACATCATCATCCGATAGCGGGGATAAATGCAAAGATCCGAAGAGAGTTTTTCACAAATAAACTTAAACAACACAAAAATTTGTAATAAGCTGGAAACCATCACCTTCTTTATACAAAGGATTATTTAGAAAGGTCCGGTTATGAGAGCCATGATATACATATGTATGTACGTATGTAGATTTAAGGGCCAAATTCACAGTGCGTAGTTTAATTTTTGTACTGAAAAGCTGTAGTTAATTCCCGATTCTGAGATAACTACGCACTGTGAATTTGGCTCTAAATGAGAACAAAGATTTATTAAATACTTTAAAACAATTTACAAGACAAATTAAAATGTATATATTCTTATATATGTCGCACGTGTATGTTTTTTCAGTTCTCTGCAACTTTTTGTTAATTCCCAGTTTATCTAATATGTAGTTATAAAAATGCAAGTAGAAATACTTGCATGTTTTGTGAACTGGTCAAGTAAAACTGTAATGGATTCATGAACTTGCTATTTTTGTTTTCTAAATGAAATGTGTTATGGTTTTGTATGACAAATATATTTTTTATCGAAAAAAAATTGTTTTCCAGTTTCAATAACCTTTTAAAGGTTTTTTGAAGATTTTATCACTTGGAAGATTTTTAACAAAATTTTTCTGGTAACACTGGCTGAAATAAATAGACGACGAAAAGTGTCGAGAACTATCCGGTGCTGCCAAGTTTTTCCGTTTTAATACACTAGGTTAGTGGAAAGTTTAGGCAATGACGTGCAATTTTTAATACGACTCGACTCTCGACATGCGACTTGCACTCGGAACAACACTCGCAATAAAGACTGAATAATATTTTTCCAGCCGAAAAAAGAGCACAAATGTCCTCTCGAGAAGTACTTCTACGAGAATCATTAATATTGGGAAAAATTCTTTATACTTTATATACTGCTTTGTGGCTTTTGTTAACTGATAAAAGGTACAACTTGGTGGATGCCTAGCTTTACACTCACACAAGATAAAACGAATCACAAAAGAACGAATACCCATATCGTCACCTGAAATGCAAAATAACGTAACATCATCGTCACTGAAATGCAAAAAGTCGTAACTTATAAAAAATTCAAAATTCTTTTTTGATTTTCATGATGGATTTCATCAAATTACAACTCCCCACATCGCTTTATGAAAAAAATTAGTCACGACTTTTTCCATTTCAGTGGCGATGATATTACGTTATTTTGCATTGCAGGTGACGATATTATTTGTCAAACTAAATACTTGGTAATTTTTTAGATACATATGTATTATTCAACGTGTAGAACAATATGTAGTAAAATTTTTTGAAAATAAAATGTATGACCAACGAACAAAATATAAGGGGAGCTCACGTTGAGTAGCATTTTAGGTGTAAAGTTGCTACGTAGCAATCTAAATATCCCATGTTTTGTTGCTTTTCCAACAACAAAATGCGTGCTACGCAGCAACTTTACACCTAAAATGCTACGCAAAGTGAGTACCCGTAAAGTTTTGGTAATAACTCCTATGAATTGACAACTTTTTTCACCCCAAAAAACCACAACAGTTATTTAGGGTCTCTGGCCGAAACTGTTTTTTTCCAAATCAAATTCGACGAGGTAATGCAATACAAAAATTCGTTTTTAAGTATATATATCGCCTTTTCAACCTGCAAAATCAGCCCATAAAGCGCAAAGAACCAATAAAACCGCTTTCAGAATATATTCTTCAAAAGTTGTTTTCAATAGCTGCCTGCTAACTACGCTTAGTTCCTCAATGTTCTATATTTCGATTAAAATCGCAAAAAAAATGTAGATATTCTTCCTTTTCAATCTGGCATCGCTAACGCGAAAGCAGCCACCCCTTGGAGCATGTTTATGATGTCTGTACATATGTATGTTTACGCATAGATACGAACAAATATCCATACCTATTTGCGTACAGCTCTATTGCACGATAATTGCTGCAGTTTTCGCTTCGTAAGGTATACTCAAAAATGGAGCTTGCGCATTTCACGCTTAACGTCATGAGGAATGCTTACGCAGTGTTCGTGAAAAAAGCGGGCTTATCCGATAGTCTTGGAATATGTAGTTATGTTGAGATTTTATTTTGTAAAAATTTTTATAAAAATTTTAAATCTTAGAGCTACAACTAATACTTTGATAGAGTTGCATGTAACTTTTAAACGGGAAATGAATAGAAAGCGTGTACAATATGAATAAACGCATATGTAATTAACTGAAGTGATAGCAATAACTAGAACATCAACATCAACAGCACTTTTTTGTGTAATAGAGCACATACAATTTTTATAGATATACATACATATGTTCATTTGATGTCCTGTGCAAAAAAGAGTGCTTAAAAGTGATATGACCAGAAAGATGAGCATTTTCATATTATAAAATCGTAAAAGCAAACGTTTGCATGACAAGCACCTGATCGACTAAAAGAATACAATGGTTTACGGATAAGTGATAATCTGAGTATCTACTTATGTTTGTATTCCAAGAAAAATAAAACGTCGTGGAATCTAAAAAGTAATAAGTCTCTCGGTGATTTTATGTTTGTTTGCAAGAGAACACGGGATCTCTTAAAAGTATGTATTTAGAAATTATAGCTGGGCTCAGTTTGACCAAGCAAAAGCTCTACAGAAAACAGATTTAATAAAAACTGGTTTAAGAGTAATGAACTGTAAATGCCGGTTTTCACTATGTCAAATTCAATGGCAGTTTTCGTCAAATAAGTGAAAATACGTTCTCAAATGGGATTGAAAAGCGGTTTAGCGATTGATTTGGATCAGGATAGGTCTTTGGTCGTGTACATGCGCTGCTAAATTGGCTATATGTCAGTTTTTGGCCGATAATATCATCGGTAAAGGTATGGATAAAGGAGATAAAGTTGTGTCAAAATATGTCGCCAAATTTTGGCGTCAAAGTATGACATAGTGAAAACCAGTCTTAAGATTGAAATTGTTATTTAATGCCTATTAAAAATATATGTATAATAGAATTGCCATTTGACTTGTGGATTAACAGTTATGCAATAAATTTGTTTGGCCTAAATTTAATAAAAAAATAAAGTTATGCACAATAACGCAGAGCAAATTTTTTTCAGGGATTGTTTCTTGTTTCTCTCGTTAAAAACTATTACATTAAAAACAAGAGTTTCGTTAAAGAGCCACCCTAATATAAAGCATAGATACATGCGCATATACATGTGAATGAAATTGTAGTCACGGTATTTTCGAGTGTATCAAGAACTAATAAAATTAGAGAAGGGAAGCCTTTTCATAGTGGCTGCGTTTCTGTATACATTCCGGATAATCCCATTTCACAGCCACAATAAACAGAATGCGTTTGAAATATACGTCAACGTATCATCAGGAACGTTCTAAAGGATAAATAAACAAAAAAGTTTTCCAAACGTTCAGAATGAATAAAGAAATGCAGCCAGTGTGTTATTTCTTTGTTTTTACATATGTCTGCAATTTATCGACATGTTTAAATTGCTACGCCTTAAAAATGTTTTATTTTAAGCGCGCGCGTAAAGCAGAGGCTCCTTTATTAATGAAATAAAGACAGTCACAAAAAGTTGTAACGCGGAAGCACCACGACTTTCTCAAGACATTGAAGAAATGTTCTGATATTCATACTCACTTACATATGTATGGAGAGTTGCCACTGACGAAAAAAATACTTACCATTCGCTTGAAAAAAATCTACCAAATCTGGAAAATATCTACCAATACCTTTTATATAGATTTGCTCAATTTTTTTAGTTATTTCTACAAAAGATTAAAATTGTTTTATTAAGGAACTTTTTATTTATCTAATGATATGGTATTTGAGATCATATTTTTGGCAAATCGGTTTCCTTCTATCAAAACCGGAAATGATGAAACTAAAAACAGCAACGAAACTTCATTATTTGAAAAAACTGCAACTGTAGTAATTATAGACAAATATAGTGATTGGAGATTTTAATAATATTTATAATATTTTTATTGAGCTTTGTACCACGATTGTTTATTAGGAAAAAT